TGCGCGTAATCCGGCGCCGTAGCAAAAGCCGAATCGCAAACAGCACACACAAGACCAAGAAGGAGGCAACCGTGACCACACTAAGCCACATCGCAGGTCACTGATTTGGACCTTGGAAAGTGCATGGTATTCCTCACGGGTATCGTGTGAGGCCATCCCTGCACAAAGTACATACCCTATGTCAAAACACCTTGGAAGAGGTGATATAAGGACATCTAACACACAAGCGCGTGGTATTAATATACAGATCCGCAGCGCAATAAACCACCGCAGCTTTGCGCTTATTCCTCCAGGGGCTGGGGGGAGGCAAAAGCAAAGCAAACCCCCACACGATTATCAAAAGAACCGTGCCCACTCAAGACATGCGTGTATAGCGTTTATACAAGCACGCAAGCCGAGCTAAATACAACCAAACTGCAGCTGACTAAAGCTTCTGGCATCACTACCCGTCGGCGGTGTCACCTGAAATCCTTCCGCATCGCAAACTTGCTCAGGAACTTCCAAATTTGGAAGACGGAGTCAGAGTGCCGAGACACACGGTCGTTGCCCGAAGAATCCCGTAGAACTGGCCGCCACTAGCCCACGATGAAGTCAAACCACTATCCTGAGGAATCGCCGCCCGGGTACTACACACGGGGCTCAACATGTCTTGCCGGAGATGCTCACCGCCACATCGAAGCACATGCCCGTGCCGCTGGGACGAAAGCTCGTGTCCGCGTGGAGGTAGCAGTCCGCGTTGTCGAAACCCGTGGTGCCGATGTTCTCCAACCAGATGGCGCGTCGATTCATGCTGATGCCAGCTGCACCGAAGATGCAGAACCACAGCACAGCATACAGGAAGGGCAAGGGGCACATGACCCCGTGCTAGATGGTGCATCTGCGAGAGATGCGTGCCATGAAAGCGCCGACGAGAGGGGCCCAAGCATTCCACCTTGGCGCACTGGCCGTCTTTCGGCCGCTCCTCTCCCAGTGCCCTGTGGGCAAAGGCTGCGATGTCGAAGGCAATCGCGATGAAGTGGTTCAAGTAGTGACCCACCGTCTGGACGATCAGGTTGAGGATGTACCAGGTCTCATCCAATGCAAACGCCAACATCATCACCACGTTGCTGCATACCAAGGTGCTGTAAGAGACTGTCTTGATTCCCAACTCCAAACATGCCACGACAGAAAGCATGGCACGGACCGTGATGATTGCAATCACCACCGCGGAAGTGATGGTCAGCTTGTCCTCGGTCACGGTGCCGCCGAGCAGGCTCTTGGCGACCCCCCTTCCCCGAAGGGCCATGGCGTGGGGGTCTGGGGCTTCAGCAAGCAGGCGCTGTCGCCTGAGTTCTGAGCCCTATATGTATACATATATATATATATATGTAAGTATATACATATACACACAGAGAGACACAACAGCAAGAGATACTAGACAATAAAACGCCCGAGTCAATTCCGCACCTCTTTTCTGGTCCTTCTCGCGGGATTGGCTCAAGCTGCACGCTGGTGAGCTGAGCTGTTGTGCTCCCGAGTCGGCTCGAGGCTGCCTAGCCTGTCAAAGCGTGTGTCGCCTAGCATCCCAGAGTCCACAGCTGCCGAGTGGAAGGGACACGATGCCCCGCTGGCATCATGGAAACGACAGGCTGTCCATGGCTGTCCGCTGTCCTCCGAAGCGCAATCAAAATGTTGGAGCATCAGGAGATGCCAGCCTAGCCGATGCTCATGGGAAACAAGCTGAAGGTTGGGCTGCTACACGTGCTGTGCAGGTGAAGCTGTTTGATGTGTGCACTCGTTCATGCAGTCGAGCTATTGATGCCAAAGCAGCATGACAGCTGGTTGTACTGTTCCAGATGTACCTCATCCAGAAAAGGGAGGACCTCCGCAATATCCAGGAAGAGCAAAGCCTGGCTCAGCCTTTTAGTTTATGCGCTTGCCGCCCTAAGGCTAAGGAGTTTTAGCACCGGAAGCCAGCAGCCATGGAGCTACCTCGGTGGTCTGGGCGCCGATTGCGCTTTCCAGCAGCTTCTGCCGATGATGCTTGCTACCGTTAGCATTGTTGCGGTGCAGTTGCCCGCATGCTGACAAAAACTGGCAGCCTCACACCGGTTGATATCAGCTGACCGAAAACTGGGTCGGAGTTGCTTTGGGAGAACACCCCCACGAGGAATCGTTTGCGCTTCTCCTGCGCGGATGGGCGTCAGCTGGAATTCAAAGCTGCCGGAGGCCAGTCGCTTCGCTGTGTGGTTGAACTGGAAGCATAGATTCATTGAGCAGCTGTGCTTGCAAGCCAGTCTTACTGCAGGGCGGTTGCAGTGTGTGGCTAGCCTGCAGGAAGTGTTTCAATGCTTTGACCCGGCCTAGCCGTAGCCAATCTTGACGGCAACATGGAGAGACACAGGATGAGACTCGTGTCCAGACTGCAGACGTGCTTAGGCCATGGACGGGTCATGGAGACGGCCATTCCGACACATGACTTTCAACGAGGCGACGTGCCTCTCACCCTTTGGAGCCCGGCAGACTGTAAGTTGCAGGACTCAACCGTGGAGCTACCGGAACTTCAACAAGTTGTGCTCTTGAATGCAAGAGCCTTCGAGGGACGGTGCCGGGGAGAGCCATCCATGCAATGTAGGTGGTGGCCATGGGGTTGTTATATTTGGACAGATTTTGACAAGGAGATTGTCCGACACCATGCTGGACAAAACTTGGGTGGGGGATGTTTTGCAAGTCATCGCTACGGCACGGACCGAAAATGATGAGATTGCCGGCTTTGGAAATCTCATCTGATGCAGGCGACAGGCACAGGTCAGAGCTGAGTACCTGCGAAAACTGGAACTGAAAGTGATGGAACAAGGGGGTGAGTGACATGAGGAGATTCGAGCCGAGACAATTCCTGCGGGAATCAAGGTTTCCCTGAAGGGAATGCTTGCTTTAGGACAAGTTCGGTCTATGAACGCGGCCACGAGGCAGCGAGGGAAGAGTCGGGCCCGTGAAGGCGTCATTCAAAACTGATCTAACCACACCGCAGTTGCTGCTGATTGAGACATCTTTAGAGCATTGCCGTAGGTCGAGTGATGTGAAAAATCGTTTCGAGCCGCTCGTCTTGCTTGCAGCCGAGAGGGATATGACCTGTGGGCCAAGTTTACCGATCTTTGTGTTCCCCCCCACGCCAGCATTACTCACTCTGCGGCATGAGGACTCTCCTTTTTTCTCGGAACATGAGCGGCACTCCATGTTGAGTGCGACGCCCACTGCCTGTGCTGCCGAATGCGCATCGACGAGGTGCGGCTCATTCAGAACGATGCGAACCGACTCCGTGCAGAGCTTCAAGAGCTGGCTTGTTTCTCGGGCATCGGCACGAAGTTTCTGGAGGCACGCGACATCAAGAGGTCACACGGTCATGTAGTAGTGCATGATGCGTCAGAATGCTGCCAACTAATTAATTGAAGGATGTTCTTGAACACCTGACCAACAACAAGAAGCAAGAGCCGGTCGTGAGTGGTTGTGCTGATGAAGATGAAAGAAGCTGATGGTAACAGACTGGTGGTCGTAGTCGTCGTCTAGTCCTAGCAGTCGCCGTTGTACACGCAGGTAGCAGTTGACACGCTGACATAGTAGCAGTCGTAGTAGTAATGGTGGTAGTGGCAGGAAACGCTGCATGCATGCAATGACTCAGTTCCTGCCTATGAACTGCCAGGCGCGAAGCAACGCACTGGTCAGAGTGTCCTTGGCGGGCCATGGTCTTCAATACACGGTGGATGGAAGTTGGCGCCCACCCTTTCGGCGGCTTCGGCGAAACCTCAAGCAGGGTTGAAGTAAATCGTCATAATCGTCCCTAGGTTCCGAGCTTTGATCCGGAAAGGCTGGCCTTTGAGCGAAGAGTGCTCTTCTTTCAAAAATCTGAGGTTGCAACCAATGTATTCCACTGGACCCAAAACGTGCACTTAGCCAGGCCCTGTCTGCCTGCGTCTGCCTGCCTGCCTGGCTGTCTGTTTGTCCTGCTTGCCTGCGCCTGCCTGCCTGCCTTCCTGCCTGCCTGGGTGGCTGGCTGGCTGGCTGGCTGGCTGGCTGGCTGGCTGGCTGGCTGGCTGGCTGGCTGGCTGTCTGTCTGTCTGTCTGTCTGTCTGTCTGTCTGTCTGTCTGTCTGTCTGTGTTGGTATTGCTATGTCTCTGTCACTCTCCTCTAGTTCTCGCTGGTTGCTACACCATGCACTTCTTTGCAGATTTTCGTAAGGGTTCCCGCCTGAGGCAGCTGGAGTTTCATGACGACCTGGTCATGCAACGTGGCTCAAGGGGCTCAACGTGTTGCTGCGACCGAAGAGAGCGTTTCCTGTAGACTGCACCAGGTTCCCGGATATTTGCCATTCCGCCCAGCTTCCGAAACCGGCAACAGCCTGCATCCGGTCCACTCTGCAGGCTTGCTACTTCGCCTCGCATCTCTGAGCACTGTGATGGTAGAGGCTTTATCATGTCTCATGTTGCTGAAATTTAGACGTCGGTCAGGTCAACTGTATCTCAAAAGGGCTTGCGCGAGCTGAGAGACACTCACAGGCTCCGGGCTGTCGCCTAAACGAGCGGAAAGCAAAACACGCTACGATGGGTTGGAAACCTTTTGATGCGAACAAGTGGAACGATGCAGAACAGGTTTGCATGGCCCCTGCGAGGGGACGACATGCACTAATCGAGACGGGTGCCATGTGAGAGTCGAACGGGAAGCCCCCACTCCAAAAGGACATGATAGGAAGAACGCATCACGATCAGTGCCGTAGCTAGGGAGTCATGTAGTGCCGAGTGCCAGGTGCATGGGGTGGCATGAATGATTACGTGAAGCTGCACTGGGCAAATCGCCCAGTCTGCTACCAGTAACAAGATCAAGATCTGCACTGCAAATTTATTCTTGTGTTCGGGACTAGCGAATTGGGATGCCATGCGTGATGCCTAGCAGTCTCTTGGAACATGAATTGGGGGCACACAAGAGTTCCACTTGCGGCTTCAGCATGGAGTTGAAGCAGAACCGGCCAACAGAAAGTTAATTGCGTCTGTTGAACGCGGATGGCAAGCAGCGTCGACGCAGTGAGGAAGGCTTTTATACGACACCCCATCATGCGTGCTTACGCTTTCTGCAGGTGCTGGCCGCTGAGATGGGTTTCGGAGCATCCTTCGTTGAGGCTCCTCTGAGTGGTTGAGAATTGTCGTGAGTTTCTTACGAGACAGCTGTAAAACTGCTGCGATGGTGCAGCAGATCAAGGCGGGGGAGGGGGATAGGGGGCTTGAATTCCTCTAATAAGTGCTTGAAAGGGCTTTCATGAGGCCTACTGAAATGTCCCTACCCCCCCTCGCGCTTCCCCCGCGGCAGTTCCTTCTGAAGCAGAAGTTATGTGTGCCGCCAATCCGCACAAGGCCAGAGGCAAAGGCTGCGTGCGGATGACGCTGGCGAGCATGGAGCCAAGTGGGCCAAGTCCGAGTGTATGGCCGCAGAAAGCTGGCTTATCCATAAGCAGGCTCCGCTAAGCGCAACCTTGGCAACGTCCCTTCCAGGTAAGCGAAAGACATTTGCTGAGGCCAAGGCAAGTTGCAGTATACTGTCGACGGAGCTTGTCGCCCTCCTTTCTCGAAGATGCAGTTCGAGGTGCCCGTGCCCAGAAGTCAGGGGAAGGTGGTCCAGTCACACTTGCATATGAAGCCGGGTGTGGGACCTTGGCCGTTGTTGAGCGGATTAAATGCTCTCAATGGTTTTACAACCTTGGTTTGGATGGATGGACGGTTTTGCAACATGTAGGCCCGGTGCCTTGCCTTGTTGTGTTTGGGATCTTCATCGCTCGGGGATTATTGTTGCCTGAACAAGTGCGTATGAATGCTTCCCAGAGCATGTCCCTCCCGACACTTGGATTTTTGCTGACTGGGTTTGTATGCATGGCACTATTGGGACTTCATTTAAAGGTTGGCGTGCTTTCGAAGTCCACAGCGGCATGCCCAGCCCTTAGTAGGACAAACGCTTCGGGGGTCGAAGCCCACGTTGCACCTTCTGGATAGTAACCCCGCCCCTCCCCCTTCGCCGTTTGCATCCTCGATCAGTGTAGGACTTGGCGGCAGTGGCAAAAGGTTCAAGACATGATTCGGGAACAAGACAGAAGTGAGTTTGAGAGCACGCCACTCGCAGGACTCTTTCGTGCACTTCCCAGAGCTGGGAACGACGGCCAAGCTGCCACAGGCCGAAGCGGCTGAATTGAGGCGCAGCGAGTACAAGAGACAGTCAAGCAAGCCAAGCAAGCCCTCGCCACCAGGGCACAGCTTCAAGAGCAACCTGGCATGTTTAGCCGGTTCGGAGCTATGAGCTGGTGTGAAGTCTTGTGGTCGAGCTTGTACTCCATGCGGTGTAGGCATTCGCGCCCCCAATCTGTCCAACCAAGTCTGGCGGTGGCGGCATCGGTGGCCGTGCAGTTCAGAGATTCGAGGCTTGTGTCGTGCTGTGACATGCGAAAAGCAGATGTGAAGCAGAGCTGATCGAGGGGTGCCGTGCGGGTGTTCTGTGCAGATGATCGACTCTTGCCTTCCCCTCAGCTCGGCAAGAGCTTCAACGAATCTACTAAGTGCCGGTGCATCACCTGCACTTGAACGTCAGCATGTATAGCCGCTGCCTGCGCAGTGCCCAAGGCAGTGCTCCTTGGACGGGGATGTGAAGCCGACTTTTCAGCAGATGACCTTCATGCAGGATGGCTCCGTGGATTTCCCTGAAATAGGCCAGGTCCCATGTTTGAAGGATTGCAGAGAGACATGGCGATATGGCGACATGGCGGCAGGGCAGTCCTTCCAGCTACCGGAAGGTCTCGAAAGCCCGCTGAGGAGCGCGGCCTTTGCCTTCTCGCAGCTAGCGCTCTTTGAAACGCCTCAGGAGGCAGCTCCAGGAACTCGCTTGCAAGGCCCATCTCGGAGCGGCTCAGCGATATAAAAAAGAAGAAGCACCCCGCCCTTTCGCAGCCAACCCAGGTCATGTTTCGCGGTGCCAGAGGAGACCTCCCTTGTTATTTTTTGAGGGGGAGGTATATAGCACATGCAAGTCCCATGCATGTGAAGGTACCAGTGGATCCCTTTTACGATTTCATGTCAGCTCTCAGTGCCTGCAGCGCCCCTGGCTGGTTTTAGTTGCCACAAACCACACCATGTCTGCACTGCTTGTTGTCAGCATTGGACAGCAGCCACAACCAGACTATGACAGATGTGTAGCAAGCACACACGCCAGGTACACCGTGGATGGCGCTTCCAAGACGCACACAGATTTCGAGCAGTGCATTCACGCTGAGTGTGTGCGCCGGCGAACAAGCCAAGTCGTGGCGGGCCCCAATCCAGCAGATGTGTTTTTCTGAGGATGGAGCCTTGGTTGCATCAGAATTGCATGGTGCGATGTTTCGCTGGCGCGGCCGGGCGGACCTGTCATGGCCTGAGGTATGGTCGCTTTTCCGGAGTTGCAGAAGACGGTCAGAATGCCAGAGGAAGATGCAGAATCCCTCAGGACCTGCTAGAAGTTCACTTGGCGGCTCGGAGCCCCCTGCGGGGTTGTACACAGCTGGTCAGCCGTCAGCCGACAGAGGCAAAGGCAAGTGGCCGGACGGCGCGATGCGAAGCGGTGCGAAGGGGCTGAGATTTGTGATTCAGGAGTTGGTCGTCGGTCGCCGTGCTGTGCGTTTGTGACCGAGACGAGACTCCAGACGTGTGAATGCGAAGCTGTGCTTGAGAGGCCCTCTCTTGGCTTGGTTTGAACTCAGTGTGGAGTCGACACAGGCGTCAAGCGTACGTGAGTACTCGTACGGCGGGGAAGGGTGCCCCGAGCATGTCTCTAGAGGTGCAGCAATGGGAAACGAAAGTGGACACGAGCACCAGGTCAAGACAACGAGACGAGACAAACCAAACGCACAGTCGGCGACTCAAGCCACAGGTCCAATTCGAAGGAGGCTGGTGCAACTCAGTAGAAATGCTACGTACGAGACTATAGACTATGACAAGGGTACTCACTACTGCCGCTTCGAAGCTTTGTCTCCTGTGGGCGCCTCTGACTACGTCAATGTGGGGTCGAGAAGCGAGGATCATGCTGCAAGACCTTGCAAATCTCGCTGGGCTTGGGACTTGCTTCGTCCCTTGGCCGCCGTGGCCCTTGGGGCTTTTTTCCAGGCATTCTTTCAGCCTCTGTGAAGCCGCGAGTCTACAAGGTGGAGCCTCAAGGCAGAAGGTCCATCCGAGTGTCCATTGCCGGAGACGGCCTCCTGCAGCCACCCGGCAATCCCATTTGCACAATGGCTTGCACAAGATATTGGCAGGGGAAGCGACGTTAACGAGAATCCAGGGACAGTTGTCTCAAGCCCCATCCCATCTCAGGTACTCGGTGAACGGATCTTGGAGACCCTGCTTCCGCGAGCTCCATGTCCGGGAGGTGACCATTCAGTCATAGAGCTTCTTGTGTGTGAACCTGCGTGTGATTGAAAGGAAGGCATGCCTTCAAGTGCATTTCCGGGCCTTGTGCAGCTTGAGGACGGTTGGCTCGAGATTCCAGAGTTGGGCAAAAGTGCCAAGCTGCCGGACGGCCAGGCCAAGCAGCTCGCCTGCAAGTGAGGGGCTGTGATGCTCTTTTTTTTTGCCGGCGCAGGCGACTGCGTTGGCCCATCGCCTCCAAGAGCTCCAGCGGGCGTCCCAAGGGAGACCGCAAGGACTGCGGCCGCGGCTCCGTCAGACAGCGATTAGAGGAGCTCTGCAGACGTCAAAGCTCCTTGAAAGGACCGTCGGAGACCGGCCCGGCGCTGTGGCTCGTAGTGGATGCTGGCTGCGCGGCTGGGCGCGTTTGGGTAGCATGTCAGTGACCTCGGCATGGATGGGTTTCACGGTAGAACAGCACGAATATCTTTCCCGCATATCCAGTTATGTCACTTATGTCTATGCCAAATCACAACCAGGCACGCCGCAACCGCAGAGTACCCGTCATATCTGCAGAATCAGCATCACGTCGATGAGACCACTCTTTGTGTGTGTTTGCTCTTGTTGGAGAGAATGTGATATATCCTAACGTCTCGTTGGTGACAAGCCACCGACTACTGATGAATCACACCCTCACGCACACTCCAGAAATCGTGGCGCCATCATTATTGCCGAACATCGGCCCTTTAGACCGTCAGCATAGCTTCACTGGCCTTCTGCTCATAGAGTCTAGTCCTAGAGTCCTTCAACAGGAACGACATAGGATCGAACCTATTGCCACCAGTATGTACTCCGCCAGTGGCAAGCAGACGAAGCAAGCGCAACATTGGTGCAAGGGCTGCTCGTCGCTTGAGTTGCACGACGCCAATATGGAAGACATCAGACAAGGGTCAAGTGTGCGATAGTGGGGATGTAGAAGCATGAGGAGAACAGAGTCTCCGGGGGCAATGCGCAAGAGCAAGCCTGAGGTTCAGCTCACATCTCAAGATCGGGACTGAACACCCCATCGACCTCAATCCGACAGCGCGCGACTGATTCTTCACTGAGCAGCCAGTCTGACGAGCTTTCAACTCTCGCCGGAAGCTGGCCTGGCCACCTTCCCGGCGAAGACTTGCTGGATCTGGAGGGTGCATCCTGGAGAGTGATCTCAGAGATGGGGCAGATCCTGTGCTGACGGGAGACGTGCCATGACTCCATGACGCGGATTGAGCGAACACACGGGATTTGAAGTGATGGGAAGCACGCGGGCAGAACATGACCGAACGTCGCACTGCCCAGCACTGTCCTATACTGTCCTCAATTTGTGATTCTTGACAGACTGGTTGCAGGGCCGGTTGCTACATCGACGGGCAGAAAACTTCCAGGCCGTGGCTTTACTCATGTCCGCCGATTCATGTCAGTATAGTTCGCCTCTGGCCTCGATTGCGCAATCAGGTTGGCGACCGGGTCACCTTTGCGGAAGCACCTCTTGCTGGGTTACCGTTTGCGGCAGTAAATCTTTGTCGGACTCGGACTTGTGGCGAATGCGGGCCCCAGAACAGATCCGGCATAGTCTAGCGTGCCAGGTGCAACTGGGGTCAAGCTTGCAGGCCGACTCGAAACGGGAACAACCTGTTCATCCTATGAGATGTCAAGTGTCAGAACTAGACTCTGCTATTGACCGTTACGAGGCTTGGAAGGACCAAATTGTCGGAACCATTGCTGAAGCCGTCAGCCTACAGCTTGCAGTTTCTCGTGTTCATCGTCATGAAGATTTGAGAGTCGTGCAGCAAGCAGAGTTGATGAGGTGCTAGGCACAGGCGAAGAACAGCGTTATGTGCTGGCCTCGCTCGCAACATACGTGGCAGATAAAATTGCCAAGCCTTTTGGGGCCGCTGTTGTGCTTATTGTGGCCTCGTGGCTCAAGGGTAGAAGGTTGAAATAAGCACATGCGTCTCGCATATAGACTAAAGTTGCCCTTCATTTGTCGAAATTTCGGAGTCCTTCACATCATGAGCAGCAAGATCGCGGCAATAATTTCTTTGGGAGTTCTTGAGCTTATCCCCGCCTCGCGAGCCTAAGATTGGATGTCAGAGGAGCGCCAAGGCCAAGGCTATTGCGGCGAGGCGTGTGTTTTGTGTCGTCGTGCCTAGGGCTGAGCCCTCGGTTTCGATTGTTTACTGCAACGGCAGCAACAACGACGAAGCTACAAATGCTCCGCAGCTACTAGCAACACCACCACCGTCACTACCATTGCTATGAACCCACTTGGCCACCTGAGACTTATGCAGCATCAGTTATGCTGCCCTGAGAGCACTCCCCGCAATCTCTACACACACTCTGTTCTTGCCTTGCTACTCAGCGCCGGCGCTGTCCTTACGTATTTGTGAATTACAAGTCTTCCTTCCACTCTTTTCCCTTTCCTTCGATTTCCTCCGTGCTGCTTGATGGCCAGTTCGTTATTGCCTGTCTCATGGGTTGTCATGTTTTATCTTTGTTGGGCATGAACCACGCTGTCCTTCAAGGATTTCTTCGCTGAAGGTTGTGGAGCCCGGGCTTGATAATACATTTGCCACGTCACTCCCAGTTGCGTCTTATTCTACGCATGGATAAGCACTGTCTGCTCAGTCGCCTTCTTGTTGTCTTCGTTGTTGTTCCAGGGGTTGTTCTACAATGAGCACAGAGACAAGAAGACAGTAAGGCATGGTCGTAAGGTTCAGCGCTGCCAGGTGGCCGATGCCGCGCAGCTCATAGAGCAGTGGAATGGCGTCAAAAACAATTTTAAGCCACTCACGCCAATCACTTCAGCCTACCGGCAGAGACTCGGCAAGAACTCGCATCTTCTTCTTGAAAAGAGACCAGGATCTCGCACAGTCCGTATGAGGCACCGAACAAGTAAGACCATGTTGGTACGTGATGATTCTGTGTAGACGGTTTCCTACTGCAGGTGCGCTTAAGCAAGAGAGCACTCCTTTGCAGTCTGTGAGAGTGGCTCCTCCATGCGGTCGGCGCAATAGACGCAAGTAAGCTGCTGTGTGGATGAAAAGCCGTGTGGTTAATGCGATGACCTGTGTGGGGATGCATTCGCTTAACTATCGCAGGTTAAGTCTTCGAATATAGGCAGCTTCTGATACAGTACAAGAAGTAACATCGGAGGCCAAGCGAAACTTTCGACGGTGAATGTGCCTATAGCTCGAGGCCCATGACAAGACAGGGGGCCCGACGGTAGATGGAGCAGAATCACTGCCAAGGTGCTTTGTCAGAAGGTGGCCCGTAATCTGCAAATGTTTCCCTGTCCTAGGAAGGATGTTGGCATCTCGGGCGATCCCAAGTTTCACGAGATGAAACACTTCCTCACGAGCCACCAGCACCAGGCCTGCCGAGCTTACACATGGCTTGAACAAAGGCTTGAAACCAATGTGACAAGCCCGGCAACGGTGAGGGCAGGTGGCCCGGTTCAGAAGATTGCATTGCGCTCTTATCAACGAATATCACAAATACACAAATAAGTAAGAAATAATTTATGTAGGTAAATGTTTTTGTTTATAGTGTATGTATGTATTTATGCATTTACGCATGTGTGTGTGTATGCATGCATACATGCATGTATGTATGTAGGTATGTATGTATGTATGTGTGTGTATGTATGTGCGTGTATGTATGTGTGTTGGAAATAACTCGTTATCCACATTCCCCGAGTTCGCCACTCCGTTGGCTCAAGATCATGAACACTTTGTGCGATCGCTAGAAAGAGGTGCTCCGTGACTATCAGGGTCACTTTGATCTGAGGTTCAGTGAGCAGTGCACGCAGTACTTTAGGGTATTGTTTGTGTGCTATCTGAGTACGTTGTACTTTCGCATGGTAGCGGAGCTGACAGCTCCAAGGAACTTTGGTGAGAAGACATGGCTTTAGGAGGCGAAGGAGACTTTACAGGAAAGCTTCGGCTGCGGCTTCCTTTGCCTGAGACTTTCAGCATCATTCCTGCCGACTGGGAAGAATGGGCCCGGAACTTTAAGGCCTACGTTTCGATGTTTGAGACAGGTGCTGTCACTGTGCTAGAAAGGGCAGAAGCTAGGAATGATGAATTTCTTGATGAGCATTTGAGTGTCACTGTGGACACAGGTGATGTTGATGCCGAGCAAACCGCAGCCCGAGTACTTTTCTCCCGGAAGCTACGTTACCTGATTTCTCCACTTGTGAAAGATTCGGCCAAACATATCGTTCGCAATGGTTTTGAAGCTTGGAGGAGACTTTGCAAGAAGTTCCCGCTGCCAAGAGCTACGAGGAGCACGTCACTTTTGACGCAGCTCTTGGACTTCAAGTTCAACCCAGCGACCTTTGAACAGGACTTGAATGTTTGGGAAACGATCAAGACGAGATACAAACGACAGGCAGGTGTAGCTTTACCTGATGGTGTACTTGTAGCAACTTTGCTGAACAAGACAATGGGAGTTCTGCAACAACATTTGAGACTGAATGCTCGAACTTTGCAAACCTATGCACAGGTGCGCGAGGTTATTCTCGAATACCATGGCTCTCGACTTTTGATGAACCCAGTTGCACCAACTTTGGCGAATGCAACTTTCCGAGGCGGAGCCTCGGCTCCCATGGACATTGGTGCTTTAGCAGCAGCTTTGTGGAAAGGCAAAGGAAAAGGAAAAGGGAAAGGAAAGGAGGCAAAGGAAGAGGAAAAGGAAAGGCCTTTTCGAAGTCGCATGGAAAAGGAAATCAGCATTGGAACAGGTAAAGGCAAACGACGAGGAAAAGGAGGAAAAGGCACTTCTAGTTCAACTTCGGTTTGCTGGTCGTGTGGAAAGACAGGACACTTTGCAAGCGTGTGCTGTCTGAGTACGTTGTGCTGTCGCAGTATGTGTGTATGTATGTATTTATGTATGTATGTATGTATGTATGTATGTATGTATGTATGTATGTGTTACTGAGCTTGATCAGGGATGTTTGGATGAGGACGCAACGGCAACCGACCGCTTCAGCCGCTGGCTCGCAGCTTCGGTCGGTTGCCTTTGACTTGCTTTGCACTCCGTTCGTGTCGTCGTCCGTCCGTTCGGGTGCCTGTCAGGTATTTAGGTCTCCGACCGCAGCGTGCGAGCCATGGCTTCCTCGTCTTCACCGAGTTCTGAGAGATCGCGTTCTCCGTGCCGCCCGGCTTTGTCCGGCGGTACCGCAGGACCCGTCTCCGCATCTTGGGTGTCTGCTCCACCTCTCCGCCCGTCAGGACCGGAGCTGGTGGACAGTCCACTTCCAGGCGCGCCCCCGGCCCCTGGTTTTTCCGTTGTTTGCTATCGTGCCAGGTCACGATTCAAACGACGAGCCGTTCGGTCCGTGGCTCAGGTTCTTCCTAGCTCCGACCGTTGTTGTTCGTGCGGCCCCCAGGTCCTACGAACACTCCGAGTACAACGGGAGGTGCCCTTGGCTTTCCCGTTTTGCTCATTGTTTTCTTCTCCGGCCGCAGGTATCACTACTCCGCCCCGTGCGAGTGAACGATCTCCTGCTATGCCGCCCGAGGACC